CCCCAAAACCCCAAAACCCCAAAACCCCAAAACCCCTTAATCTTATTTTAAAATTGAATGAATTACAGAAGGAAAGCTAAAAAACTCAGTAAAGAAACTGCTTAGCATTAAATGTATCAATTCTTAATACAATTTACCCTCTGTGAGAGTTAGCTTTCTCAGGTTCAGTCTGATGTATTAATACCATTCTCTTCGTACCATCAAATACACCTTTTTTTCTTCCTCCCAAAGCAACCTGTCCTATCTCCTCTTTGTCTAAAAATTTGCCCTTAAGATTAATAGTAGAGCCACTATTTTTAATATTATACTTGATATTTTTCCTGCTAAGTTTTAGTTTTTTAGACCTCTTCTTAGATTCATGCTGATTGTCTGAGTGCGAACCTTGAACAATGTGCTTAGAGACTCCTAGGTCCGAAAAAGAACATACACTTTGATCTGAGCTTAGCTTAGAAGTATTATGAGAATTCAAAGAAGGCTCATTAATATCTTTGTTTCAATCCGATGATAAATAATTCGTTTGATTTGCTTTAGTTTCTATAACATTATACTGTGTTTGATAGAATATAAAATTTTGAAATTGGTTAATTTTTCCTATCCCCAAATTCCAGAAACCATTATATTTCGCTACAACCTCCCAATAAGAAAAATTAATCATTTTTGAAATAGTTAAAAAAATTAACTTTTCTAAGTATCAAGTTTTCACTTTCTTATCGTTTTATATTGAAAAGTAATACGAAATTAAACAAGAGCACACAAAATAACCTCATTATTATTTAAAATTGTACAGTGTAGACTTCATGTTAGCCCAGATAGAACAGAAATGAGATTATGTTTTTATGGAAAAGCATCGGCACTTTGTACCACGAGAAATTAAAACTGCACTGGTTAGCTTGGTCAAAAAGGATTAATAAAATAAAAAATGTAATTCTCTGGTCTCTAGGCTTTGTTTTAACAAATTATTGTAAATTTACCTTCTGTATTGACCTTGCTTCTTTCCAATGTCATCTGTGAAAAGCTGTCCTTCATCGGTTTCAAAATGTTACTTTTCTTATTAAAAGTTGCATCGAAACCTGAAATACCAGAAAAACTAGGAGTAGGGTCAACATTGTCTTTATTGATGTTTTCTTTGTCATCAATTGGAAAAATAAGATTTAGATCATTTCGATCTTTACACCTAGACTTCAAAGTTGATAATTGGTGCAAACTTGGTGCCAAACCCTCAGATAATAAATCAGAGCAGAAAGGATTTTTTGATCATGAATTTCTGATTAGTGAACTTGGTCTTTGCAGTCCCTTCAAGGGAGTCCTGATATTTGCGAATGAAGATTTTGAATTTTTCATGTTTCCTCTAATCAAAGGGATGCTTAAGTGATTAGAATCCAGAGAATCTTCCATTTCTACTCTATCTAAAGGCTTTAGCTTTGACCTCATTGGCGATTGTAGGTTGTGAATACTATTTTCTCCAAGGTTATTGATTCCATTCTTGATTTCTGATTTTGAAGGAATATGAGCTTTTGGGGTACTTTTAGTAGAAAAAGTGCTTTTCTGAAGTTTCGCCTTGGTTTCAGATTGAAATAATCATAATTTAGCAGGAGTACTGTTGTTCCTCATTGACAACTTATTTATTTTCATGTTCTTAGGGCTTGGACCTATAAATCAAGTCAATACTCAAAATGCTAATAAGAGATCACCTAATTCTGTTAATCCTTACTCATTATTTTTCGATGATACTTCGAAGCCAAAATATTGAAGCCTTTATTGGACTTTTTATGATCAGATTGGTGAACTTCCTTCCTGAATTGAGTAATATCATCTTCTGAATAGAAGAAATCTTTTGGGAAATGCCTTCCATACTTTTTGGTAGAAGACCATTCAGCAATGTTTCTATTTATTGTTTAGATTAGAAAGTTTTTAAAATTCAAGGAAAATTTCAAACTATTTCTTAATTCACTACTAAGCGCTCAACTTGAACTTAAGAAAATTAGCTGTACAATCAGAGAGAAATAGGAGGATAGGTTTAACAAGATTAAGCCCATCCGTAATTATTGGATAACTATCAATAGATATGCTAAGCAATTCGTCTCTCTTCTACTAAGCTATCTAATATAGATTCACTCAAACTTCAAACAATGCAGAACTGAAAGATTCTCATAACTACTAAGCCTCTGTTCTTTACATTATGGGACATATTTTTCGTTTCGATAATTATATTAACTCAAAAAGTATGCAAAATCAAACAACAACTTAATTTGTCCTATTTCCTACTATTCTTCAGAATTCTCTCCAGAATATTCATGAAAAAGTTAAAGTAAAAGATACATCAAGAACTAACACAAATGGCTATAAATTTCTAAATTTCTAACAACAAACTACACAAAGAAGCTCTGTAATGACTATAAATCTATTTCAGATGGCTAAGCCAAGGTAAAGTAAATACCACATAAACAGTTTTACAACCTTCAAAAGTATCATATAAATGAGCTAAATTTGATTCCACTTAGCAAAAATAAGGAACTCTATCATAATTTAAAAATACTAGATGTTCTAATATATAATAATTCACTTACAATGGAGTCTGATGGATATCTGGCAGAAATGAGTTCTTCTGGTTAGTATTCATGTTTGAATTTAATTTAATTTATTATTCACAATTATATTCACTTTTAAAGGGGTTTTGGGGTTTTGGGGTTTTGGGGTTTTGGGG